TTAGTATTCTTGTTTGACAGATAAAAAACCAAAGTGCCAAGAGGTTAAATGACTTGCCAAAGTCTTACCACTGAAAAGTGGCACAACCAGAATATGAACTTAGGTCTACCTGACTCTAATTTCCTTACATTTCCAATTCTTTGTCTCTGATTCACAACGACATTTTATTTGCTCATAAGCAAACTCACTGGTCATTTTCTTTCCTTATTTTCTCAAGCTCTTTTTGGACCCAAATAACAGAAAATTGTGTAACTCTCATGGCGATACCTTGAGAAGTAATTCATAAAATAAATAAACTAAAATGCTCAAAAACATAGGTACATTTCTATTCTTACATGCACGGTTTCATCCACCATGAAGTTAGCAAGTGTGTTTCATAATCCAAATATTTTAAGTTTGGGAGGACAATATTTTTTTAATGTAGAACAATAATTTATTGTAGAACAATATTTTTTTAATGTAGAACAATAATTTAGATATACAATGTACTGTATATCTAAGAAAATTTATTTGATGTAAATTTCATCATAAATAATAGTAATATCATTGCCTTTAGTCAGGTGAGGAAATCGAGGTTTGTAAAAGTGAAATAATACACCTTTGGTCACTCATATTTAAAGTGGCCAAAATTAAAATGAAATCCAAAACTGCCAGATTTCCAGCCCCTCACTTTGTGCTCGTTCTTCTGTAACACTCTATGAATCAAGGGCATTGACAGTTCCATCATTGTGACTACACCTGGGTCTATAAATTCACTTGCAGTCTTTGCAGTTTTAATTTCACTCTTAATTTAAACTCAGAATTGATTTTTTTGCATTTCATGAGGCTACATTTGTCTAGCTTCGAAGAGGAAGAAACACATCATATAGAATTACACAGAAATCATCTAGTTTAGTGGATACAGATTTTGGGGGTTGGTTGTTTGTTTTAATATGTATTATCACCTGTCATTTTTGTAATTCTTCCTGTTGGTGACAGGGTGGGACAGGTCATCAAATGTGAGTTGTGATTATTCCATTGAAGTCACCAACTCACAGCAATCAGGCAAAATTGAATTCTTTAGAGGTGGCATAACTCTTCATTTGTTTCCAAGTTCAATTGCAAAATTTAACGAGCTTACAAATGTGGATGTGGAAAGGATGACATTTGTAAAGATGACAGCATGCCCAAACAAGGTCTTGATGACACATTTTGTATCCCTTTAATTTGAATCTTCTCACATTTAAAATGTCAATCCAGGCCTGCATGGGCCACAAGACTGGCCCTCTCTACTTGTTCAAAAATGTAGATATTGTGATACTTCTCTTAGGTTTACTTTCTGTTTCCTGATACTCCAGCCTGAATAAAGAATTTGGAAATGAAAATAAAGCCTATAAAAAGAGACAAGAGAAGAGGGTTCTTCTAAAACACTGGTTCACAATATACTTCCACAGGAGAAAGAACTAGAAAATGTGCAATTCTAATTAAAGAGAGGCTATAGTGCATGGTCTCAGGGGGAAAAAAAAAAAGAAAGAAAGAAAGAAGCAGAAAAGAAAAGAAACAGGCTCTAGAATTCAGGCTCTGTACATGCAGATTTTGATTCAGATTCATGGAGTCTGATACCCATTTGCCTAATTAATGACAAAGTACTGCAGTTGACTTTGCTGGTAGAGGAACCTCACAAGTCAGGGGCTCATTTCAGCTAGTCCTGAAAGCTTCTCGGGCATTTTGATAGCACCCTAGAAAGTCACGATATGGGGAATTCTGTATTCATGGACAAACTTCAGCCTGGTTTTCTGGCTGTGGATTGACATCAGCTCCAAGTGAAGCTAGGCCAGAACATAAAATCACATAGCACACCAGTGCAGGCGTGGAGTGTGTTGAGAACAGGTCACGAATCCAACACAAAGGTGAACCATGAAGAGTATCTACCCACGTGCTGATCACGTGCAATATCCTCTGAGGCTTGGAGACAAATGATTTCACCATTCTTCTTATGGCAGTTTGCCTTGTGGAAAGGACTTTGTGAGTGCAGAGTCACAGTGAGGAGGCCAGGGTTGGATGGAAAGCCCCAATGGCAGACAGAGGTCAGGAGCAGAGTTTGGAATGGGTGGCGTCAGTGGCAGGTGGTCAAACTCAGAAAAGGAGGATTTGTTTGAAGCCTGAGAAGACATGATATGAATAAAGGCAGAGATTCTAAACCTTAAGAGCATCCTAGGGTGAGAGTTGATGTAACATGTACGGCTTAAGTCAGGAAATTCCTATAAAAACAAACATCCATTTATTCATTTAGTTAACAATTCTTAGGGTGTCACCAGTGTGAGAAGCACTGTGCTAGGTGCTGGGGAAGTGGTGAACCAAATGAATAAATCATTGAAAAATATGGTCCCCTGAACCAGTGGAGCTTGCAGTACAGTGCAAGACAGTTTGAGCTAGTGACATTTAATTTGAGATTTTAAAAAAAAAAGTGGGCATTAAGAAGATAAATATGAAAATAATATTCCAGAGAGAGAAAGAGAACAACTTGTGTTAAGGCTCTAGACATTAAATGTAGACATGCCAGAAAAAAAGGTGGGCAGTGTCACATCAAGAAGGTCTTTTTAGATCTTATTAAGAGCTTTGGATATTATTGTAAGTCTATTAGGGAGCTAAAACCAGCCTTTAAAAATAGGTTATACACACACATTCATGCATGCATGTATGCATATATTTATATACATAAAAATATGTTTACATATATGTGCATATGTATGACTTAATTTATGTATTAAAAAGTTCACATTATCTGCTGCATGGACAGTGGTTTATGGGATGCTAAAAGACAAAAAGCTATATATTTTTTTATATTCTATGTATATTTTCTATATATTTCCTGCAGTCTTTTGTCTCACAGGATTAATATTTTTCTACCTGTTATTGACATTAAGACAAACACTTATTTTAAATGTATAACTTGATACATTTTGAAGTAAACATTTCTCCATGAAACCATCACTGCAATTGATGAATGCATCTGTAAATCTGAAAAGTTTCCCTAAGTCCCTTTGTAATCTTTTACCCCCACCCTTCCCTACTCCTGACACTAGGTATCTACGTACATGCTTTCTGCTACTATAGTATTCATTTAATAGAATTTTGTATAACTGGAATTATACAACATGTATGCTTTTTTTGGTCTGACTTATTGTAATTAGCATAATTATTCTGAAATTCTTCCATATTGTTGATATGGAAGAATTGTTGATATGGAGAATTCATTCTTTTTTATTACTGAGTTATATTTTATTGTATGGATATACCACAATTTTATGATCCATTCTCCTGCTGATGGTCACTTGTGTTATTTCCAGGTTTTGGCTATTATAAATATAGTTTCTATGAACATTTGGGTACACAATCAAATTATGCTTTTATTAGTTTTGAGCAATGACTGGATCATAAGATAGGTTTATGTATGTTTAATTTTTAGTGAAGTTATTTTTTAAACCAGTTGTATTGTTTTATATTTTCATCATGAGTACATGAGAGTTTTCGTTGCTCCACATCTCTTTCAACAGTTGATATGATGAGCCTTTCATTTCAGCTATTCTAGTGACAGTGCTTGTATCTCATTATAGTTTAATTTGCAATTTCATAATGATGCATGATGTTGGGCATCTTTTTAGGTACTTATTTGCCATCCAAATATCTCTGGGGAAATCTAACCAAATTTGTCTATCCAAATTTTTTGCCCACTTTTTGGGTTATTTATCTTCTAATTATTGAGCAGTATGAAATTCTTGTATATTATATATAAAAGTCCATTGTGGAATATATAATTTGCAAATGTTTTTCACAGACTGTGTCTTATCTTTTGATTTTCATAATGGTGTCTTTAAAGTGTATGTTGTTAATATGGATGAAGTCCATTTTATTGATTTTTAAACATTTGACAATTTGCACCTTTTGTATTTTAGTTAAGAAATCTTTACCAAACCCATGGTACTAAGATTTTCTTCTATTTTCATAGTTTGAAATTTCACATTGAGGTCTCTTATTTATCCTTCTTCAGTTTATATTTGTACAAGGTATGGGGCTAGGGTCAGGGTTCATTTTTGTGGGTATGGCTATACTATTGTTGCAAGTCATTTTTTGAAATGATTCTTTCACCATTGAATTGCTTTGGTGTCTTTGTCAAAAATCAATTGGCCACATGTGTTTAGATATGCTTCTCCACTCTTTTGTTTGTTTCAGTTATTTGTTTTTCTGTAATTTGGCCAATGCCACATTGCTTTGATTATTATAGCTTTATAATAAGTTTTGGAATAAAGTAGTACGAGTCCTACAACTTTGTTCTCTTGGCTACAGAAAGGTTGTTTTGATTACTCTAGATATTTTGTATTTCCATACAACATTTAGAATCAGCTTGCCAATTTCTGTGACAACAACAATAACAAAAATGCCTCGTGAGATTTTAATAAGATTGCACTCTACCTGTCATCTTGGGGAAAATTGACATCTTAATAATATTGAATATTCTAATCCATAAGAGTGATGCATCTCTTTATTTATTTAGATCTTCTTTACACTCTTTCAGTAATATTTAAAATTTTTCAATGTACAAGCCTTGGGTATATTCTTTAAAAAGTATCTCCATATGTTTCGATGCTATTGTAAATTACATATGTTTCTTAAATTTGTGATTATATGTTGCCATTAAATAGACATACATTTGACTTTCATACCATCTATACTACAGCCTTGCATCCTGCAAATTTGCTAAGCTTATGTAATATACTAGTTCTTTTTTGTAGCTTGAGTTTTGATTTAGCCATGCAGACACAAAAAATAGCAACCAGTAATCCTACAGAACTTTGCAAAGAAATTAAATCATTATAACTTCCTCATGTTTTTTCCTATTCATGGCAGGAACAAAAAATTTGGCTTTGAAAGACTCCCTCCAGCTCAGAAGTACAAGGACGGAGATTGTTGCTGCGGTGCCCTACTAGTGTCTATTCTAATTCTTTTTTTCAAATTCACAGAGAGTGAAGACGTTTATCAAAGGCAGGTGCTGTCAATTTCATGTATCATCTTTGGAATTGTCATCGTGGGCATGTTCTGTGCAGCATTCTACTTCAAAAGCAAGTAAGACCATTTCTCTCAAGTGTTAAAAGGTTACTTCTTAGAGGAAGCACTTTATTTTTCTTTAAAGTTTTCAGTCTCTGCTCCAGGCAGAGGGACCCTGTGCAAATGGGTCCGTCAATCATCTGCAAATGACTTAGGATATTTTGTAGACCCTAGTGACTGAGTTCAGGCATGTGCATGCATGTATGGGCATGTGTGAATGTGTATGCATGTATGTGTGTGTGTGGGTGTATGTATGTGTGTGGGTAGGTCCCTGTGCAAATGGGTCCGTCAATCATCTGCAAATGACTTAGGATATTTTGTAGACCCTAGTGACTGAGTTCAGGCATGTACATGCATGTATGTGCATGTGTGAATGTGTATGCATGTATGTGTGTGTGTGGGTGTATGTATGTGTGTGGGTAGGTTATCTTTGATGCACATTGATCATTACTCTCAGCTATCATGAACTTTCTATGTTCTTTGCACCAATTAATGACCTGCCTGCATTAAAGGCACAGTGTCTGCCTGTCACAAAGAGGCTAACTCTTCTGAGCAGAGTTCACTGCTATGAACTTAAACACTGTCAACCATTCTCTAGGCTTTCTGAAAAAGAAAAACACAGGGGGAAAAAAATCACAGTTTTTCTTTGATACTGTTTTTATCTGATATTCATAAAGGTTTTAGCCAAATATGAAACATAACTACTAAAAAATGCACTTTGGTCTACCAGTTGGTATGCACATCTTGAATATGCCCTAAAGATCTCTTGCCAGGAAATTAGACCTGTAGATGAAGGGGATATTTTTGACTAGCAAATATACATGTATGTAAATGTATATGCACATATACAAGGGGTCTCCAAAAAGTTTATGGAAAGGTTCATATTATCTTTAAATTCCATTTTTCCACAAATTTTTTGAAGTACACTCATATATGTATGGGTGTATGTGTATCTTTTTTTCCAAATGAACTGTGATGGAGGTATTTTATTTATGGAAATGATATAATCTGCACGTAAAATTAGAAATGCAGATAAAAACATTAGTTCTTGGTTTCTTGTGCTTTAAGAAGCTGACACAGATTTTGCTTCTCCAGCTTATCTGAAATCCAAGCCAATGTGTAGCTACTTTTCACTGAACCTATATTTTTTAACCCATGTGCTCTTCTAAAAATAGATCAATTTCCAGATATGATTTGTGATACCTATGTGCATGTTGATTTGTAAAAAAGAGCTGCAATTACTGTTTCTAAAAATAACAAACTCAGGCATGAATCCAGAATTAGTAATTATTATTTTTTAATAAACTATTTTAGAATAGTTTTAGATTTTCAGAATTACTACAAGAATAATGCAGAATGTTCCTGTGTACCCCAGGCAGGCCCAGTTTTCCTAGTGTGGTGCATCTGTCACAATTAATGGAACAGTTAATTGTGTCAAGTTAATTTCCTTAGTTTTTTAGCTAATGGCCTTTGTTTAAATTCCAAGATCCCTCCAGGACACCACAGTTCATTAGCTGTCACATCCCCTAGGCAACTGTTGGCTGTAACCTTCGACATTTGAGTGCTTACTCTTTGCCAGGCACTCTGGGCTTTTCATGTATTACCTCCCAATCTTCACAACAACTGGAGTTCGGAATTATTACTGCATTTTTTAAGATAATATCGGAATTTGTTTTAGAATATTAATTTGTCAAAGTCACAAAGTAGAAAATTGTAGATGGGGTCTTTGAATCTCAGAAGTTCTAGTTTAAATCACGTGTTCCAAACCACTGTATCATATGGGCTCACACACTCCTCTCGCTAGACAGTGAAACTGCTCAGAGTGTTAGGAATTATCCTCCGTGCTGCAGCCCTTAGCACTTTACGTTCTCCAGGGTGGCCGTGCAGCACAGTGGTCTGGAATGTGAGTTATACCTGGATTCAAACCTTTAGGCTGTGACGGGCTTGTTCCTTGTTATTAGGCATTATTTCTCTTAGCCTCCGTGTTCTTTGTAGTCAAATATGAGAGTATTTCAAAAAGTCCGTGGAAAAAGTAGAATTAAAAGATAATATGAATCCTTTCATGAACTTTTTGAACCACCTTAGTGTGAACAAAAATAATATCTACCTTACATATTTTGTTAAGGATTAGAGGGGATAATACTGTAAGGGGCCCAGCGTAGTAATGTTTAAAAGAGTAAATAGTCAATGAAGACTTGCTATTGTTAATGCGCATGGTTTTCCACACTAGGACTGGGAGGCTGGGTATCTACAAAGTTAGGAGTGTGCCCTGAACACAAGAGGAGAAATCACACTAACCCCAGTGGGGCATCAGAACGGTGTCCTTGCTAGAGCTGTGCATGAAAGAAATTGTGTATTTAACAATAAGCAAATTACTATGAAGAAGCAGTTAATCACTTATTTTTAGAGTATGACTGGTAGTCGTCTTACAATTAAACAAAAGACTGATTATAGCAATCATGACAGTGGAGAACAGCTGGATAATGGGAGGACTTCCATCTTCAGGGCTGTCAATCTCCCTCTCTGGGCAGTGAGTGGGCTCTGAGACTGGCATCTCCTCCCGGGGCTAGCGAGGGGCCCGGGAGTCTAATGGAAACACTGTCCAACCTCATGTTCATTACACGTGGCTCGGAGGACTGAGCTGATGCTGGAGCATCAACTGGGATGTTGTTGTCTTCCTGCCTGTCCCCCTGGGACACATTTTTATTTAAAGTAAATAAATAAGTGAATGTAATTACTGACACACTGCCTCTCTGGGCCTTCTTTCATTTTCTTGTCATGACCTCACCAGAAGGAATATTATAGAAAATTTTATATGCGATGGAAGTTTGAAGGCAGGTAACATGATAAGGTAGAAGTGAGGAACAACTTATTGAATTTAGAGGATATTCTGATGGAGTTAATTGAATCCCCAACAACTTAAAAAAACACCATGAAAGAAATTGTCTTCTCAATGCTCCCAATAAGGCCACATGTTCCTATACACAGTTAATAGAACCATTATTTAAACCTTTCGAGTCTAGCTGATAGGGCTCAAATGGAAACTATAAATTGTCCTGGGTTTTCTCCTTACTTTCAAGTTATATAGGTAAGAAGTATAAGGCTTGCTATAAGAGTCCTTAGTAGATTGTGGAAATGCAAGACATTACTCAAACTAAAACTAGAATTGGAATAGGAGAGGAGATGTTCCAGGAGGCAAAACCTGGGATGGGTAATTATCACAACTGACAAAACGGAAGAGGAAAATGAAGAACTAGTGTTACCAGTAAAACGTAGATATGGTAACAACCTGCCCCTTGCTGTAGGTCATCACCCTCCAAAGTGAGAGCAAGGAAAGCCTTTTAACAACAGGCAGTGGAGGCTCTGATTCTCTGCTATGATCCTCTTCAGCAATCATTTGCCAGGGGAAGGAGGAAAAAGCCCAATCCTGCCTCCGTTCCTCCTCTTTACTTCCACGGGTGTTGATCTCAAGACCCTTCCCTATTAAAAATCTTGAGTGCTGTCTCCTTCCCAGGGTCTGCTTCCCCAGGAGCCCAACCTGCAACACCACAAATAATGTCACCAACAGGCTTGTGATGTCTACGATTCCACACATGAGCTCTCATTTCTATCTAATGCATTGGGCAAGAGAAACTGAAAAACTCAATGAGCTGTAAAGTTTCAACCCTTGACACTGCTGAGCTAGGAGCATTCCAGTGGTCAGCACTCTTATACCGTCCCCAGAGTGACTGTCCTCCTGGGGGACTCTCTAAACTGGAAATACTTCTTGGTGGGTTGACATGACAGAAGGGTTCTCTTTGTGAACTAAGTTTATCTAGTTTTAGCAGTTGACAAACACAGATGTTGGGAATAAATGAATCTCAAAAAAAAAAAAGGAATAAAATAAATGGATGCAAATATTTACCCACATGTTTATTGAAACCTGCAGGAAACAAGCTAAGCAAATCCAAGAGCAGCTGAAAGTACCACAGAATGGTAAAACCTACAGTCTCAAAGCGTCCAGCACAATGGCAAAGTCAGAGAACTTGGTGAAGAGTCATGTCCAGCTACAAAATGTAAGTTACACATCTGCGCATCTCCTCCCGCGCCATCCCCAGTGCCCCCGGTGTGGAGGGCGGGAGCCTGCGATCAGACTTATATATATTTTTCAATACTTGATAGATTTTTGCTTACATCATCTTGCAGTTCTCTGTGTATGTGTGTGTGTGTGAGTGTATTGGGTGAAAGAGAGAAAAGTTAAATCTCGGCACTTGATTATAATCTGTAACTCTCATGTAAATTAATATTTGGTAGCAATGAGAGCTTCAGATGTTTGTCCCATTAATACTTATCAAAGGAGAAATAGTATTTGGCACCAGGGATACAGCATATCCTGCTGGAGGAAAACTTATGTATAGGAAGAAATAACAACAGCAGCAGACAGCCGTGTGCCTGCTGAGACGGTTGCTGTTGCAGCAGAGGCTGAAGAAGGGGAGGCCCTGGGGAGGCACGTGGGGACAGGGCTGGAGGCCACCTCACAGTGGAGTCTGGCTTGAGCTGGGCTCTAAAGGACATGAAAGGTGCATCACATAGTCAAAGAGCTAAGAGCCAGAGACCAGAACACACAGTAAGAATGAGGCCAAAGAATAGCAAGATTGCTTGCAGCTGCAAGTTTCAGGGAATAAGAGGAGTCAAAGGTGAGAGGTGAGAGGTGACAGTTGTTGTCTTAGAGTCAGTCCTTCTAACACCAGGTTTTCATGGACACTAGAACTTGATGTTAAATGAAAACTCTTCTCTTGCGTTCTTTGTAAAATAATTTTAATCATTTCTAAAATATATTGCAAAACACTCAATTAGAGACAAAAGTACACTGTGTGACATGTGCTGAAATATTCCTCTTGGAGTAGCAATTCATTGCCCACCCCCCTACCCCCAAATTGCACTTCCAAATTCTGAGGCACAAAATGAAGAAACAAAGGCCATGGTGTAAACCTAGTGTTTGAGGATAATAGGCAATCACCAGGGACACATTCACACCCCTCCAAATGCTTAAGTCACTGGGGATTTATACATCATTTGTGATTCTAAGAAATCATTACCCAAAAAGTCACCATTATGATGTGCATAACAGATGTACTTAGATGATTTAATGCAGAATTCATAAATTAGAATCACTTCCAAGCAAAGTTTTTAAAATTTTTATTCATGGCAATGTGTGCGAATTGTTCTTTTCAGTAACAGAGAGAATGCCTTTGCTAATGATTTCTAATGAGCATAATCCCACCATCCTAAACAACTGCAGCAATGGAGGCCTTAAATTCCTTAGCAACAGGTCTGGGGGAACACAAGCAAAGCCAGACACAAGTTAAAGCAGTAAGGACAGACTTTACTCAGTAATATACTATTGCAGTAGGCAAGAGAATCCAGTGTGAACTGAGCTCAACTGCAGTCCTTACAGAGGTGACTGGGCATTTTAAAGGGGGAATGAGGGTGCAGGGAAAGGAGGGAGTGGGACCAGGGGGCTTGAGCAGACTTAGGGAAGTGAAAATTATTAAGAGCTGGTCAGTGTAAATGTGATTAGGCCAGCTGTGTCTGCTAGTTGGAGATTATTAAAGTTAGGATACTGTCTTCCCACAGAGACTAGGAGGCAGAGCCCCCATCTGTTCTGATAATTATATTTCAAAGGAATGGCATTCAGTTCTTTAAGGACTGAGGTGTAGGAGATACATACAATCAGCCCTCCATATCCACGGGTTGCACATTGTAGATCCAACCATGGATCAAAAATATTTGGGAAAAAGAAAATTCCACAAAGTTCCTAGAAGCAAAACTTGACTTTGTCCCGCACTGAGTACTACCTTGAATCCACATGGATGAAGTGATGTGTAGGCACTGTATCAGATATTATAGGTCATCTAGAAATCATTGCAAGTACAGGAGGATGCATATAGGTCATATGCAAATACTACACCATTCTATATAAGGGACTTGAGTATCTGTGGATTTTGGTTTCTGTGGGGGGTCCTGGAAGCAATCCCCCACAGACACCGAGGGATAACCGTATTCATAATTATGAGCCCTTTTTAGTAAATGCTCTAAAAAAGTGAGGTCAGGAGCATATCATCAAGTGTTGGCTAAAACAAACCTTAAATTCTTTTGGCAGCCTAGACTTGCTTTCTGTGGTTTTTTTCAGGCAGGCACTTTAAGGGTTTGGGACATCCTAGGGATGCAGACTTGAATTGTTTGAAACTATGTTAATGTTTGTTCAAGTCTTTTAGTGTGAGGGGAGGAACGAGCTGATTAAAATCATCTGGGCTGAGAGTCTGCAGTTTTATTAGGCAAAAGGTGAGGCCTAATCTAAATGAAGGTTCAGAGAAGCCTGTCCAAAGTCAGGTCAAGAAGAGAGTCTTCATCAGCTCCTGTGCACTTCACAGGGTTGTGCTGCAGCCAGAGCACACACAGCTTTGCAGCCTTCTTTCTTATCTAACGTGTAATCAATAGCGTTTTCTGTCTGCTTTATGATCTCCACAAACTTATGTGAGATGATTGCATAATGGTCCACAAAGTGGCCACTTCACATTTTTCTCATCTGTCCCCTCCTAGCAGACATTCAGGTGCTTTGCTATTGTTTGCTACTATCAGCAACTCTTCACTCAGGTGTTCCCCCACCCTTCATTTGATTGAAATTTTTAGGATTAAAATTACATGAAAGAAATTACTAGCTGTAGGTGTTCCAACATTTGAAAGACCTTGGACGCATATGATTTTATTTCTTTTTTTCCTCCCTCTTCCCTCCTCTCTAGTCTGCCCCTCCCCAACATTTTGTGCGTTGGCACAGGATCACCTGGGTCATTTCCTTGGGCCCAAGGAGGGTGTGGGGATATCTTTTTGTATTCATTGCATTTTTGCATAAGGAGAGTGTAGGGAAAGAAAAAAAATTATTTCCTCTATTCTTCTAGGTTCTTAGTTGGTCTATGTAACAAAAGACAGATTGATAAGAGAAAAAAAAACAGATGTTTATTAACATGGGTGTCATGAAGCAACTTGAGTAACGTGAAGGGGTTTTTAGAATTTAGGCTTATATACCATCTTAGGCTAAAGCAAAAGGGGTTTGGGGCTTCTAGGTGAGGGAGGAAAGTTATGGGAAGGTGACCAGGAAGAATATGGTAAACAAGGGTTCTCTAGTAAGGTTTGTCATGCAGATTTAATTGCCTTCTTTATTGATAAGAGTTAAGAATTCTCCTTTTCTTGGTACAGGAGAGGGAGACATTTCTGCAAATGGAAATTTTCTTTACAGAAGGAAAACTTGTGCAGTTTGTAGAGTTTTTCCTGAATTTGCATGTTCTCAATAGCCTTTAGTTCAAAATAATCCATATGCCAAGAAGGCATATTTTGGGGTGGCATATTCTGTTACCACTCATGAGCATGTATAAGACATTTTGCCTCTGAGATGTGTGATCAGCTAAGATGACACATTTCAAAGGATTATCAGTCTAAATGGCTAAGGAGAAATTGGGAATCCAGGCAGAGAGTAGATTTGAGAGGAGGGCATTTAAGGACCCTGAAAAAGGAGAGCAAGGTACATTGAAATGACATATGTGCATGTAGTCATAGCAGTCTACACATTGCCAGGTTGGCTCAAGGGAATACCTGAGCAGGTCCCTTTAAAGAGACCAGATTGGGATGAACAAGTTGCTTTCCCAAAGGCATACATCATCTATAAGCACAAGAAGGCAATGTAGTCCCTACCAGTTTTGTTACACCTTTGTCAACATTTCCTTTGCTTATTTAATAGTAGGAAATAGCATTTCTTTAATTTAATTTGAATTTCTTTATTTGAGAATGGAATATAATCTCTGTCCTCATATTTCTAGTCAAATTTCCTCTTTAATGAATTACTTGTTGATACCTTTTGCTCAAAACTTTATTGTAAGAGGCACATATTGGGCCTGGCTGGTTAGCTCAGTTGGTTAGAATGAAGTGTTATAACACCACGGTCAAGTGTTTGGATCCCCATATGGGCCAGCCACCAAAAGGGAAAAAAAAAAAAAAAAAAGCAGCAGCACATATCAATTTGACTGCAATTTTCCATACTGTATGTTTTGGGAGAAAATGGTGATGAAGAACAGATATCAATAATTCAGCAATTCAGTGAAAAGAAACTGAGCATTTTAAGAACATTTGCTTTTCTTCAATGCTATCCTTAAGAGACACAGTATAAAGAGAATTATGTAGGACATCTGTGCAGTTGGAGCAGGTAGCACAGGAAATCTTAGGGAAAGTAATAATCCAATCAATGTGTGGCTAATTTTTGAATGCATATTAAAATGCAAATGTATTGAAGATAATTTGGGAAAGAGTTTTTCCTTTGTGGGTTTATATTTAATTCTTACAGTAAGAGCTATGAGGAATTGCCAATGTCAACGATAATAACAACAACAAAAAAATGATAAATGAACTAGTAACAATAGTAATAGCAAATAACCTGTTCTGCACACATACATAGTATCATGCTAAATAATGTAAATGGATTGTCTCATTGAGTCCTAACAACAAATACTTAATTCACACCCACAATGTGCAGGAGAGAAAATGGGGCTCAGCTTGAGAAAGTTCCCTTTGTCTGACAGCTAGTGAGTAGCTAAAAGGCAAACCCACATCCTTGTAACTCAGTGGTTCTCAACAACAGGCCAATTTTACTCCCCCCCACCCCCACCCCATTGCAGTCTGGGAGCAGAATACTGCAGACATGTAGTGGGTAGAGGCCAAGGGTGCTGTAAACATTTTATCATGCACGACAACTTCCCACAGTAGAAAATTCTTCTTTCCAAAATGTCAAGAGTGATAAGGAAGTCCTGAGTCCAACCTAAATTTGCAAATGTGACCATTAGGAAATTCTGAACACCCAGTTTTATCACCAGCATTCCCACTACAGGCATTTATTTCCACTACAAGAAAAGTGACAAGTTATCCAAGTACTCTGTAATCCTTGCCAGGGAAAACGGCCTACTTGCTTACCATAACAGGCAATTCTTTGTTTTATGTTGAAGCCCGGGTTAACTGTTTGAAATTCCTT